ATTCCAGTTGACCAAATTCTTAGCTATTTAACTAGTATTACTTCTATTTTATCAGTTGAGCTCAAGAAATCGCCCAGTCAACTGTTTCAATTTGATACAAAGTTCAGAATATTCCAATTTCAAAATAGGGTCCAGAATAAATAATGCAGGCATTCCTGGCAATAAACTAATATTTCCTCTGTTTATTAGTTATGTTTTCAGGCTTTACAAATAAATTCCATTTTTTTTATTCACGTAGTTTTTATTCACCAAAAAAAAATGGAAGATTTGCTGTTTTGAAGTATTGTAATAATTGTATAAATAATATTAGCACACTCGTGAACGTATTAGACCCACCAGCTGACACATATTAGACGCGTGACATTTGTGTACTCTTGAACATCAGCAAAAATTGGACCTTTCTGCTAATTTGAGCTCAGTTTCAAACCATTTTCAGTACTAAAACCAGTCAAAATAATCTCTATTTCTGTAATGTATCTTCCATTCTATCAAATGAGACCAAGAAATTGCAAATACAACTGTAGAAAACGGGGGGGGGGGGGACACTGTTGTTTTAATCCAAAATTACGTTTTTTTTTTCTCTCATTGTGCACCGAGTGCTGCAAAAATTTTTATGTGGTGCACACTTACCACGTAGATGTATTCTCTCGTATCTAGGCCCAAATTTCCCACTCACGGCTTATCTGAATGAGCTGAGCTCATGGCAAAGATCTGTGGCTTGGACCCTGGCTTCAAATCCGTAGATCTATGGGACAGATCCTGAAAGGGTTATGTACGTCTTGATCAGCCAGGCTGTGGTACTTGCCATAGTTCGTGGCTTACAAGACTTGTTTTAGTTTCAATGGCTTAGCATTGGATGTTTGATAGATGAATGGTTCAGAGAACCGACATGTTGATAAATTACACACATGTGCAACACTTGGGTATCTTTATTGAGGAAACGTTTCGCCACACAGTGGCTTCATCAGTCCATACAAAGGAGAATCTTGAACAGGAGGAGAATGAGGTAATCAGTCCCTCAACCTTGAGTCGATGTGGTCAATCCATCAATCTTGAATAGAATACGGCATACGTGTGGAGAAGGAGCTTATAAACCGTTGGCAGGAGAGGTGCAGCAGTCATAGGTGGTGTCACATTTGTTCAATGTGGAAGTAGGTCGTGCCCAAGAACATGTCGGTTCTCTGAAGCATTCATCTACAAACCTGTCAGATACTGCAACTTCTTGGGATCTTAACACTTGGGAATTCTTCGCTTGCCTAATTCTTGGGCACGACCTACTTCCACATTGAACAAATGTGACACCACCTATGACTGCTGCACCTCTCCTGCCAACGGTTTATAAGCTCCTTCTCCGCACAAATGCCATATTCTATTCAAGATTGATGGACTGACCACATCGACTCAAGGTTGAGGGACTGATTACCTCATTCTCCTCCTGTTCTTCAAGATTCTCCTTTGTATGAACTGATGAAGCCACTGTGTGGCAAAACGTTTCCTCAATAAAGATACCCAAGAGTTGCACATGTGTCTAATTTATCAGCATTGGAAGTAACTGGGAGAGCTACAGTCCACCCCACACCCCAAACTCATAGCTCCCATCACTGACCTTCAGTCTTCAGTTTATAGGACACGGTGTGGTATTTGGAGACATTTTATGGAAAAAATGCATCTAATAAGCCGTGAAATATGGTAGGTCAGTGTCATTAACACCCACAGCTTGACTAAGTCAGAGACCAGGTATGTGACCAAGTCACTTGGGTGATGATCCCATAACCATGAGCAGGTAATTCTTTCTGAGAAACTTAAATTATCATACTTTCCTATTTGTAATCTTACTGTTTTCTTCACCTCTGTCATATCAGATTGTAGCTAGAGTATTTTTATCTAGTAAATATTGGGTCTAGCATTAATGGTACTAGTTTTTTACATGTGCTTATGCCTTAATTGTTAATGAGAAATTTTGCTGAACATGGGTTTACTGTACCTGCCTCATAAGCTGCCCAGTCTTTCTTAATAGTTTAGATCCCTAGTTACAAGGATTTCACTTTTTCAATCCTTATTTGGTTACTAATCATTTGTCATTTATAATTCACTTAATCATTTGAAGATAAGACTTCTTAAAATAAAAAATCTCAATTTCGTTTATCTGCTTTCCTAACTTTTTTTTTTTTTTTCCTGATTTGTTCGCCCTGATGAATTGTATATGGATGGTTTGGCCTTGATCTTAATTTTTCTGTCATTTAAGCCTTTGGGGATTTTTATACTTTTTATGTTATGTCATTGAAGAAGCTAGTAATGTCATGGGAGTTTTTTCTTTTATTAGACGAGTAAGCCTTACGGTTGATCAGTGTGCTAATCGAACCTGCCTTGTCTTGTATTTCTGTTGTAGTACAGTATAGGGGCAGTTGATAAAATAATTTTCAGTAATTTATAATAAATGGAAAAATGGTTCGAAGTCAAATATGTGACAGATTTTCTTAAAATTCTGGAAAGACTGTACTATTGTATTTGGGTCCCCCTGCCTTGGTGGGAGACAGTTGTTAAATTAAAAAAAATGAATACCAAGATATGTAGATAATTTACATTTATCTCCATGGGGAAGTGGAACAAAATTCTTCCTCTGTAAGCCATGCGTGTCGTAAGAGGCGACGAAAATGCTGGGAGCAAGGGGCTAGTAACCCCTTCTCCTGTATACATTAATAAAGTCAAAAAGAGAAACTTAAGTTTTTCTTTTTGGGCCACCCTGCCTCAGTTGGATACAGCCGGTTTGTTTAAAGAAGAATAATTTACATTTACTGAAATGTTAATTTTTGTAAAAAATGGTAGAATGTATAGTAAAACTTGAGGTATAACTCTCAAGGGGTCTTTGAATGATTTGTAAGACTTGTTTTCTGTGCACGAGGGAGCAGTAACGTAGTGTTTATTGGTATAGGCTCTAGAGGGACGGGGATTGTGTGCCACTCTCCATGCTCTCACTGTCTGTACTCACCATTGTTTGCCACTACCTTCCACAATGTGAACAGAAGCAGAACATATCTTAAACTACTGTATATTTAGTGATTGTGGGCAAGGAAAACATTTTGGTGTTTGTCACTATCTACACACTTGTGAGGCAAGTGTGTACACTGTCCCTTGCACATCTACACAACACTATACACTGCTTTGGTGTAGAGTATTTTTCATTGATTATTACATGGTTTCAGGGTCTCAGGGGTTCGTAATAACATGATTGCAAACAAACAGTGGAATGGATGGGTTCAAACCCCCCACCCATTCCATTTTTTTTTTTCTCAGGGTTGGTAACCACTGTGATTATGGAACCTTCACACTGGGTTACATGCCAAAAAAAAAAAAAAAAAAACTTGTAACTTGAGATATGATAGTGGTCATATAAAAAAAATTGTATAATTTAAACTATTTTGAGTTTAAATTTAAAGTTGTACAGTCTATGATCTGGCAAATAATTAGATTTTGAGCAACTTTATTTACATGATTTCTACACAGCTACAACTGTTGGAATAGTGGAGATATTGTGTACTTTATTTGTGATTATTGGGGTCATTTCATAGAACTTCGCCCTGCTTTTTAACACGTCACTCTTTACATTTGCTCCCTCTTAGCTTCATGGGCCCTGTCATACTTGCTCTTACAACTTCTGTGCTTCCTCCAGTTTATTCACGTGCTTTTTGATATGCGGGTTCCATGCTAGTGCTGCATTCTCCAAGATTGACCTAGTGTATGTTTTATGAAGTGCTAAGAATGACCTAAGATTTCTGAAAACTACTCTTAGCTTTGCTTAACCTCTGCAGCTTTGGCTGCAGAGGTTATTAAGGTGATATGGACCACTGTCGATCATGCCTTTTTGAACTCATTTGAAGATTATTTTATGTGGGACATCCGAGTTCTTGTTTCAACAAACCAGCCATATCCCACCGAGGCAGGGGCATCAAGAGTTATCGGTGTGTAATTCTTTACTGTTGCTTTGATGTCACCTTTATAGAGTAGAGCTAGATCTGTTTGGTGACTGGGGATGACACTTGTATCGAAGCTCCCTCTTCATAGCATACAGTATCAAATGCCTTCTTGCAGTCTAAAAAAAAAACCAGTGTAGTCTCCCCGACCCTCTTATCTCGTGTGTGTGTGTTTTTTTTGGGGGGGGGGGGGGATATTATTTGATGAATAGACTTGTGCAGTGAGTATCATTGTGGAAATGTTCCCACAACAAAGATATCCAAATGTTTCAAGTCTATCATTCATCAACTAGTCGGTTTTCTAAACTATTTCTGTAATACTGTTTTTGTCTGTCTTAGATCAAAGAAATGTAGGCAAGTGTATTTTTGGGATTTGATGTGTTGGAATATGAGCAAGGTAACGCGTGTGAAGGAAACAAAGGAAATAAACTAGCTGCACTTAAGTTCAGTGCAAATCTAAAGGATGTTCAGTGGATCACTTAATTTCTGATGTCCATCCAGGCACCTCTAGAAAAACAAAGGGAATGAAGGCAAATAGCCGTTGTATCAAAAAATAAAAGTGTGAATAATAATTTCTTTTAAATGCAGTCTGAATTGTTTCCACTAACAATCCTGCCCCCATCCCTTCTTCCCCACACTAATAGTCACATATCACAGAATGGGGTGGGGCTTGAACCTGTATCAGGAAAGTTCTACAGTTCCCAAGTCAGCTAGCTGCCCCACATTGACCTGGGTGTTTCAGGATGTCACTGCTATGGATTTGAACCCTACCCATTCTCTTGATTTGTTTGCAATTGTGTTATTACAATTTTGTGACACAGGTTGATTTATATTATACTAGGCAGTATGTCTTGTTGAATTGTATTGGGGCACTCAAATGTACATATTTACACACGGTTTCTCCCTTGTTTTAAAAGTCGAGATTAACTTGCTATATGCGTCACTGTAATGGAAGTGAATTACATAATGCATAATTAATTTATCAGTATGAGAGTTTTAAATAGTTTCCTTCTAAAACTTTTCTTGCAGACCACAAAAGACAGATACCAAAACAAGTAGTGGGGAGTGCTGTATAGAAGAAACCAAAGCAACATCGTCTCAGCCTTCAAATAACAACGATGGGGTAAGCTACGTTGCTCCTGCCACTGAAACTGTTTGAATTTTGATAGCTAATTTATGATGTTTGTACAGTTAAACATTTGAGGGTGGAAGGGGGTTGAGCCATAGCTCTAGTCCCATTTTCAGTTGCCTGTTTCAACAATTGTGAACCCATGTGGAATCTGTTTTGACTTATTTAGTTCATTCCAGTGTTGTGGCGTTTACTGATATTCCTTTGGCGGCTTTAGGTATATAATTTCCAACCATAGTCGCTTATTACATTTCAGTGGAGTAATAGGGATTTGAACCTACAGTCTGGGATTAGCAGCTTTCACCTCATTCTACTGCACCAGAGAGAGTTGTAAGGCCTAAGGCTAGTAATCCTTGACTGGCTTTGAATCCCAATCACTTTATTGAAATGCTACATTTGCTCAGTAGAAAAATTTATTCGCTTAAGAAATCTTTGGAGATCGTTATGCAAGAAATGTTGTATCTAGGTTTAACTTGCAAGTTTTGGTCAAGTCTCCCCATCCCCCCAAATGCACGCATGCACATATACACAAACCTACTGGAGTTTTATGACAAGGTAACAGAAGTAAGACATGAGAGAGACGGGTGGATAGACTGCATTTTCTTGGACTGCAAGAAGGCCTTCGACACAGTTCCTCACAAGAGGTTAATGCAAAAACTAGATGATCAGGTATGCATAATAGGAAAGGCACTGCAATGGATTAAGAGAATATCTGACAGGGAGGCAACAACGAGTTATGGTATGTGACGGTGTCAGAATGGGCGCCTGTGACGAGCGGGGTTCCACAGGGGTCAGTCCTAGGACCTGTGCTGTTTTGGTATACGTGAATGACGTAACAGAAGGGAGATACTCAGAAATGTCCCTGTTTGCAGATGATGTGAAATTAATGAGAAGAATTAAATCGATCGAGGATCAGGCAGGACTACAAGAGAACTGGACAGGCTACAAGCCTGGTCCAGCAACTGGCTCCTTGAATTTAACTCTGCCAAATGCAAAGTCATGAAGATTGGGGAATGGCAAAAAAGACCGCAGACAGAGTATAGTCTAGGCGGTCGAAGACTGCAAACCTCACTCAAGGAGAGAGATCTTGGGGTGAGTATAATACTGAACACATCTCCTGAGGCAAACATCAGTCAGATAACTGCTGTAGCATAGTGGCGTCTGGCAAACCTGAGAATAACATTGCAATACCTCAGTAAGGAATTGTTAAAGACTGTACACCATATATGTCAGGCCTATATTGGAGTATGCAGCACCAGTTAGGAATCCACACCTGGTCAAGTATGTAAAGAAATTCCATTCCATTATTCCTTATGAGAAATTCGTTCGGTAACGTTACTTGAACAGCCTTCTGGAATGAATTAAGGTCAATATTCAGGGTTCCACTGTACTTAGGAGGCCATGAATGGCCTGCTTCCTTATTAAATCTAAAGCCATTTTATGTATCCATACAAGATAGGTTTGCTTTCCCCACCCAGCCACATGCCCCTGTTGCCTACTTTCATTACACTGTTAATTTCTTGAAATGTCTTAGTCCAGATTAACCCATAAATGGTCCAAACGTATATATACGTTTTTTTTCAACATTTGAAAGCATGTAAAAAAAGTAATCTTCGTTTTGTTTTTTACATTTGAAAATATGTAAAAAAAACTTTTGATCTACTTTTGTTGCACTACACGTGAACGTAGATCTGCTTGGACCATTTACGGGTTAATCAGCATCTCTTTTTTGTGGGGGGGGGGGGGGAGATGCAGTCACCCACTTTTTCATCTGAATACTTCATGATAAGAGGGAAAATAGATTTTTGGGGTGGGGGTGAATGGGTCACTTTTTTTTTCTGATGGCCAATGTAGTAAAAGAAAAAATTGCAAATGCTTTTTTGCCTTGCATTAACTAGCTGCAGGGCCAGACTTCAACATTCATTACATTGTTATATGAAGCTCAAGAGGCCTCCAAAGTTCAGAATCAAAAATGGACAATAGTAAAATATGATTTGGGTTGGGGGAAATAATTCAAGGCCCCCTGTGTGACAAGATCCAAAGTTGTATCTTAGCTTATGGGCAAGTCTGGCCCTGCTTTTCAACCACTTTAAATGCCACCCTCTGTGTGTGAAGAGAGATCTCAAATTGAAAACACCCTTCAGCTTTAAAAAAAAAAAGGTTGTGGATGTATTTTCTGCAGCATCTTCAGTGTCAGTCCTATGGTCTAATGGTAATGATTAGACATGTTGCCATTGTATAGTGCTTGTTGTGGCATTATGCCGCCTCTCCCCCACACATGTACCGAAACAAACACATACCATGAAAGATAAAACCCCACTTCCTGAGGTTTTAATACTTGGTGCTGTGTCCTTTATACCTAATCATGTCCCTCAGCTATGTAGGAAGACTCGCAAATTCTTGAGGGTTTGGGGAGGTATATTTGATGCCTCGTGTAGAGCAGCCTCCAGCCCTGGGATGGAACTGATATCATTGCCCAGTAAACTTTGTTTCACTATTGACCAGAGGTTCTCAATAGGGTTTAAGTCTGGGGAATTGTCTGGCCAGTCATTAAAGAATCTCATTTCATAGTCCTTCAGCCACTGAACTACAGATTTGGCGGTATGACACGGTGCACCGTCCTGCATAAAAACCGTAGCCCCACACTTTTCAAATGCCTCGGGTAGATTGTCACACACTAACTCCAGGTATAAGTTCATATACTGAGGAATCACTGTAGTGTGTGGCAGTAGGCCGTGACATCATGCTAATGGCTGCTGCCTGGCATAATGCACTGACAAAAAAGTCTCCCATCCCCCTTCCCTGTATGTTAGGCCTTTGATTTTCATCACTGCATTATGCAGGGGCTCTCACCTGACATAATGCCGTGACGAGCACTGTACATGGGTTGTCCTTGCACTTTCAATATAAATTTTCACTAAAAACCTCTGCAACCATTTTTTTAGTTCATTGTTATTACTTATTTGTAACTTCTTGAACATACTATAAATATTTTTTTTCCTTCAACAAGTCAGCTGTCTCCCACCTAGGCAGGGTGACCCAAAAAAGACAGAAAATTCCTAAAATGAAAATACTTTCATCATTCAGCACTTTCACCTCACTCGTACATAATCACTGTTTTTACAGAGGCACCCAGCTACAACACTTTAGAAGCATATATAAAGATAAAGTGGGTGAGATGTTATCAACAAATTTTGTTGAAAATAAGAAAAAGTTTTGGAGTGAGATTAACAAGTTAAGGAAGCCTAGAGAACAAATGGATTTGTCAGTTAAAAATAGGAGAGGAGAGTTATTAAATGGAGAGTTAGAGGTATTGGGAAGATGGAGGGAATATTTTGAGGAATTGTTAAATGTTGATGAAGATAGGGAAGCTGTGATTTCGTGTATAGGGCAAGGAGGAATAACATCTTGTAGGAGTGAGGAAGAACCAGTTGTGAGTGTGGGGGAAGTTCGTGAGGCAGTAGGTAAAATGAAAGGGGGTAAGGCAGCCGGGATTGATGGGATAAAGATAGAAATGTTAAAAGCAGGTGAGGATATAGTTTTGGAGTGGTTGGTGCAATTATTTAATAAATGTATGGAAGAGGGTAAGGTACCTAGGGATTGGCAGAGAGCATGCATAGTTCCTTTGTATAAAGGCAAAGGGGATAAAAGAGAGTGCAAAAATTATAGGGGGATAAGTCTGTTGAGTATACCTGGCAAAGTGTATGGTAGAGTTATTATTGAAAGAATTAAGAGTAAGACGGAGAATAGGATAGCAGATGAACAAGGAGGCTTTAGGAAAGGTAGGGGGTGTGTGGACCAGGTGTTTACAGTGAAACACATAAGTGAACAGTATTTAGATAAGGCTAAAGAGGTCTTTATGGCATTTATGGATTTGGAAAAGGCGTATGACAGGGTGGATAGGGGGGCAATGTGGCAGATGTTGCAGGTGTATGGTGTAGGAGGTAGGTTACTGAAAGCAGTGAAGAGTTTTTACGAGGATAGTGAGGCTCAAGTTAGAGTATGTAGGAAAGAGGGAAATTATTTCCCAGTAAAAGTAGGCCTTAGACAAGGATGTGTGATGTCACCGTGGTTGTTTAATATATTTATAGATGGGGTTGTAAGAGAAGTAAATGCGAGGGTCTTGGCAAGAGGCGTGGAGTTAAAAGATAAAGAATCGCACATAAAGTGGGAGTTGTCACAGTTGCTCTTTGCTGATGACACTGTGCTCTTGGGAGATTCTGAAGAGAAGTTGCAGAGATTGGTGGATGAATTTGGTAGGGTGTGCAAAAGAAGAAAATTGAAAGTGAATACAGGAAAGAGTAAGGTTATGAGGATAACAAAAAGATTAGGTGATGAAAGATTGGATATCAGATTGGAGGGAGAGAGTATGGAGGAGGTGAATGTATTCAGATATTTGGGAGTGGACGTGTCAGCGGATGGGTCTATGAAAGATGAGGTAAATCATAGAATTGATGAGGGGAAAAGGGTGAGTGGTGCACTTAGGAGTCTGTGGAGACAAAGAACTTTGTCCTTGGAGGCAAAGAGGGGAATGTATGGGAGTATAGTTTTACCAACGCTCTTATATGGGTGTGAAGCATGGGTGATGAATGTTGCATCAAGGAGAAGGCTGGAGGCAGTGGAGATGTCATGTCTGAGAGCAATGTGTGGTGTGAATATAATGCAGAGAATTCGTAGTTTGGAAGTTAGGAGGAGGTGCGGGATTACCAAAACTGTTGTCCAGAGGGCTGAGGAAGGGTTGTTGAGGTGGTTCGGACATGTGGAGAGAATGGAGCGAAACAGAATAACTTGAAGAGTGTATCAGTCTGTAGTGGAAGGAAGGCGGGGTAGGGGTCGGCCTAGGAAAGGTTGGAGAGAGGGGGTTAAGGAGGTTTTGTGTGCGAGGGGCTTGGACTTCCAGCAGGCATGCGTGAGCGTGTTTGATAGGAGTGAATGGAGACAAATGGTTTTTAATACTTGACGTGCTGTTGGAGTGTGAGCAAAGTAACATTTATGAAGGGATTCAGGGAAACCGGCAGGCCGGACTTGAGTCCTGGAGATGGGAAGTACAGTGCCTGCACTCTGAAGGAGGGGTGTTAATGTTGCAGTTTAAAAACTGTAGTGTAAAGCACCCTTCTGGCAAGACAGTGATGGAGTGAATGATGGTGAAAGTTTTTCTTTTTCGGGTCACCCTGCCTTGGTGGGAATCGGCCAGTGAGATAATAAAAAAAAATAAAGTATAAAAAGTGATCTGAAATATAAACTAAACCATATAGAATATAATATCAGGGTCCCAATTATATATATACCGTCCTGTTATATATACATGTATGTGTGATATATATAATTTATTTTAATGTACCGACCATCTCCCACCGAGGCAGGGTGACCTAAAAAAAATTTTTTTTTTTACATGTAATTTATACAGGAAAAGGGGTGTTAGTTCCTTGCTCGTAGCATTTTAGTCGCCTATTATTATGATGGTTATTATTATTATTGTGTAATTTGTTTTTTTGTAGGAGCACAAAACCAGCTGGGCAAAGATGGCCTTGGCATCAAAGGATCAAATGGAGAGGCTTGCAGCCGAATTGAAAGAGAAGGAAGAGCAGGAAAAGATAAAAAAACAAAGGCTTGGCACAAGGTTACAAACCAAGCCACAAGGTTAGTGTTAATGCTTTGCTGTGGTTTAGTTCAGGAACAACAGAGTGCAAACAAAGCTGGAGAAGGAAGAGCTCTCTCCTACACATAATTTCAAGGTCCTTGAAGTATTGTAAATGCATGGTAAGTTTGCATACCCCAAACTATTCATTTAGTGGCAACTTGTCATGGCTTAACTTTTACAGTATACTAACCAATTTTATGGGGGATTGTTAACTATTGCAGGAACAACTGCCTGTATCTGCAGCACTAATTTCACTAGGGAAGATTTTATGACAGCAGATCTGAAGGGAATAAAATGCTGCCATGTTTTCCTAAATGCGATACTGCAACCACTGAGGGAAGATATTTTATGCATCATGTCGGCCATCTTCCCCAAGGTAGGGTGACCTAGAAAAACTCATTCACCATTTATTCATAAGTGTGTGGACATCACAGTTCAGATGACCCTCTGAATAGCAACATTCCCGCTGGTACTTGAGAGTGCAGGTACTACTACCCACCTCCAGGACTTCAGTCTAGCTAACAAGTTTTCCTGAATTTCTTCATAAATGTTACTTTATTCATACTTCAGCAGCATGTCAAACCTTAAGAAACAACTCTATACTCAATCTGATCAAACGTGCTCACACATGCCTGCTGAATGATCAGTCTGTCTCTTCGTTACTCATCCCCCATATTGAGTAACTCCTGGGACAATAGAAATATACTGTATACCTTGTTCTGCTTCAGCCTTAAATGGCCAAACTACCTCAGCCCCTGCCCTTTTTGCCCTCTGAATTATACCTCTTTCAACCCTGTACCCTTGTCTAATTCTCTACATACTATCAACACCACATAGTCTCCACTGCTTCCAGCCTCCTAGTGGCAGTATTTAAAGACTTAACCTCACACATATAAAGATGGTACAATTTTCTTTTTGCCTCCATAGATAAACTTCTTTCCACAGATGTCTCAACCCACCAACCTTTTCCCTTTCCCTGTGATCCATGCTTTCATAGACCCATTTGCTGATACAGCCACTCCCAAATGACCTGTACTTGGAGTTGAAGGTTTTGATATAATTTGGTGTCCTGGACCCCAATAAAGTCACTTTGCGATACTCCCTCCAATCTGATATCCAGTATTTCATTGCCTAAACTTTATTACTCACACCAACTTGCTATTTTACACGTTCATTTATAACAGCCTACTTTATGCACCCTCCCAAACTCCTTCACAACCTTTTTTGAGCTTCTCTCGAATCTCATAAAAATTGTGTATGGCAAAGAGGAACTCTTCTCTCCATCCCCCACTCGTTCCTAACACCCTAGCATTTACTACTATTAAAACTTCTATAAATTTATGGAATGATAGTGACATCACACATCCATGTCTAAGGGTTACTTTGACTGGAAAATAGCTTGCTGCTTTCTTACATGACCTAAACAAGCTATGCTTTCTGTATAAAAAAAAACTACTGATTTTAGTATCCTATTGTCTACTTTAAACATTTGCAACATCTGGCTTTGTCCCTCTATCTACCCTATTAAATACCTTTTCCAAATTTATAAATATGACAGGTTTTTACCCTTGTGTAAGTATTTCACATGTTTTACCCTTCTCAGATACTCCATGTTCTTCTGCAATCCTACTTGTCTTATCCCTAAGGCTTGGTAATAATTCTGCCATATTTAATCTAGTATACTCAGATACAGGTAATTCTAAATTTTTTAATCCCCTTTCCCTTTATACAAAAGAACTATACATGCTATCTTCCAGTCGTTAGGGTACTTTTTCTTTTGTGCATATATTGAACAGATAAATCAAACACTGCAAAATTGTATTCCTTCTTGTGTTTAATATGTCTCATTCCTGTCTAACCTGGTTATTTCATCCCCTCCCTCCCTTCATCAGATCCTTTCCTTTCATTCTTTCCATTCCCTCCTGCATTTTCCCCAGACAGAATGAATAAATGTGTTCCATCAAAACAGTAGTTTTTGGGAGGTCCTTACACTACTACTGCTTTGCCCTGGAAAAGTCTCCTTCTCAATACCCTCTCTCTTCCCCCTACTCAAGCTAAAGTTGAAACAAACCACAAGTTTTTGCAACCCCCTTCCCCACCCGTTCCCTTCCAGTATCTCCCACCCATTCTCCACTATAATAAAATACTTGATGGCCAGTTCAATGCACAGGCATCCTATTCATCCACCTCAATAATTCCTTCTATAGCATCCTGTCACCAGACACTCCACTACCCAACTCTTCCTCCACCTCTCCCTGCCCTTACACTTATTTACTACCCAGAACCTTCTCCATCACACCTACCCCTACCCCAGTTTCAACTAAGAGTACCCAATATTCCCCTCTAGGCTAGAACTCTTAATCGCATCAGCCTTTAATTAAAAAATGCCTTTCCACTTTCTCTCCAAGAAATTTTAATAAAGAACATAGAAACCGAAAGATCAGAGCATAGTTCACAAGTTCAGATGGAATATCGAGTAAAAGTGGTGTATTCAAAGACCAAATAGCAGAGGTAATACCTGATGTAATAGCCACCTATTGACAAAATTAACAGGAATAATAACTCATGTGATATTCTCATCAGGGTACCGAGTAACGAGGAAGGAACGAGGATACAGAGGTGGAGTGGCACTGTTGGTCAGGAATACGTGGTGTTTCGAGGAGCTGGACAGGACATACAGTGGTGAGACCAGAAACTACATCGTAGGTACAATTATGACTAGGGGACCAAAGGTAGTAGTAGTAGCTATATCATCTAACCAAACAGTAGTAGGTGGACAAGGATACAATGACAACTGACAAAATGACTATCATGAGACACACTAAATCCCCAAGGAAATGTATGGGAGAAGTGGGGAATCTGATCTTTGCTAAAACATAAGGATGTAGAATATAATACCAGCATGTCATGGGCACAGGCAGAGAGAAGGGTATAAATTGGAAAGACAAGATCCGAGCCTTGCCTCAGATTCGTCAGAAGAAAGACTGTGGGGAAAATCTTGGTGGAGGTGACAGTGTAACCCTGAACCTTAATTAACTTGTGTGTCTGGAGAGAACTACATAAAGAAAGGGAGCAGCAAAACTAGACCGAGTGACTACAGAGTTAAGCGCCTCCATAAATATAATGCAGTTGGTAAGGAAATGCAATGAATGAGAGTACCCTCCTGGGAAGGGAAGTGCCAGGAGGCAAATTAATGTCAGTAATGGGTACTACAGTGCTTGAAGTGCTGAGTAACTACTTCAGACCTCATACCAATAAGGGCATTGGTAAATAGATGCCCTGCACTATAATCATGGATTCTGAGCAGCAAATGTTAAAAAAAAAAGAAAAAGAAAAAAGCATATGCTAAAGATGGCAGAAAACAGAATTGAGCAAAACCATGAAGAAATATGGAAGTTGGAACAAAGTAGAGGGATAATTTTAGAATAATTTAGCATCACTGGTCAAATTGGAACATGCTGCTGTATAGCCATGACAGAAGGAAGAGTATCATAAAGGAGCAAGTAATAATGTGAAGGAAGAGGACTGGCCTCTAACAGCACACTTGAAAAGAATTTAGCCTGATAGCTGTGGAAAACGGAAAATTCAAGGATGACATAATATTTATAGGGCTGACATGAACAAGCTGAAAGTGAGAATTTGGAGAGAGGTTGAAGGTGGTCAGGAAATACCTCAGCTGCAGGGTGATCTGGGGGGAAGGAACAGCCTCAGGGTGATTGGGGGGGAATGCCCAGCCTCGGGGATCGGGGGGGGGAGACTGCACAGCCTCGGTGATCGGGAGAGAACGCACAGCCTCGGGGGGAGAACACCTAGCCTCGGGGCGATTGGGGGAGAGCACCTTGCCTCAGGGCGATAGGGGGAGAGCACCCTGCCTCAGGGCGATAGGGGGAGAGCACCCTGCCTCAGGGCGATAGGGGGAGAGCACCCTGCCTCAGGGCGATAGGGGGAGAGCACCCTGCCTCAGGGCGATAGGGGGAGAGCACCCTGCCTCAGGGCGATTGGGGGAGAGCACGCAGCCTCAGGGCGATCGGGGGAGAGCACCCTGCCTCAGGGCGATCTGGGGAGATCAGGAAATACTTCACTGGCTAGGGTTCCTCAGCTTAAAGGTGACCAGAAAATATTCAACTTCACATCGGGAAATGCTACAGTTTCAGGGTCTTGTTAGATACTGCTACAGTTTCAGGGCGTCGGTAAATACTACTAAGGGGTGGTGGGTCATGGAAACGCTTCAACCTCAGGGTCATCAAAAGTGGGGCAGATAATGTGAATGTGATGAAAATTGACTCCATACACAGTTTTAAGGATAGTTACAATAGGAGCCACAGGGTAGAGGTTGACCATTAACTCACACTTTGAAGAGAAGGCTTTGACAGTGCATTGGTGTGTCCAGACTATAGAAGGTTACAACTGTTGGTCCAGGAAAGAATGAATCATGATAGTTTCATCTGAAATATGTGAACTATCTATTAATTGTTCAGCTGTAGTACTGACTATTCACAAAAGATTCCAGGAATTAATTAAAGCTATGAGATTTGATGATGTTGGGAAAAAATTTCACAAGACTTTTAGTTAAATAAGACGTGTCAAAGGAGGAAACAAAAATAAGTATTTGTAGAAATGGATTAAAAACCCAACTGTCACTACTAAATGGCATAGCAAATAGGGAATAGAAAGATGCTAAAATCAAATGATGGGGATGGGGGGCATAGCACAATAACAAGAGATGGAAAAAAGTGTAGAGGCTAATTTCAAAGAACTAAGGCACATTGTAAAAGAGAAGCAACTTGACAGAACTCCCCATAACCAAAACAAGATAATATTCAAAGGAAACTGCATAACAATGACAAGGGGGATAGTAGCGAGAGAGGAGGATTGGCAATATTGCCCATAGAAAAAAAAAAAAAAAGGGCTGAAATTTAAAATCCCTATGTCGAATTTTGTTTAATACAAATCAGAATGAAAACTCATTGCGATTGCATACATCCCTGTCTTTATACCA